TTCCTTGTGCCCTCACGACAATAATGGCTTTCTATGAGTGGAAAGGACTTGATATGATCTTTCACACTTTGAATTACTATGGGAGATGTTCTCTTCCTTGTCCCGTGTTTGCCCCTCTTGTCTGGGCTGTTTTTCTTGAATGTAGAATACACCACTGACATGCTAATATCAAAGGTGTCTAAAAACATAGTTTGACACACAGGTACAGCCTTGCCATTATGATCAGTTAAATAATACTTGTAGGAATTCTTTCTGTAAGGGCTGTTAGCAATTACTGTTCTCCTAGCAACAGGAACCTTGTGGGCAAGCTTACTTATCATACGCCATTGTGCATCCTTGCTTTTAGATCCATAGTAAATCTTGAATAATTTCTGCCTGTCTGGTTCTGAAATATTTTCTTGGCATTTCTTCCTGCATGTATCATCGCAACCATTCCTTAGAGCTCTTGCCTTTTTTTCCTTACCTCTTAGGGTAATGTGGGCCTCTCCAGAATTGTTAGCGAGTTTTGCTATTGCAGCTTTTGATTTACTTGGATTCCGTTGCCTCTTTTTAGGAGGAGTGGCATCACTTACTTGTGATTTTCTTGTTCTTTTTTTTTTTCAATGGTTCAGCGGCAGCTTTATTAGAATGTGTTTCATTTTCAGAAATGTTTTCAGTCACGTTTTCATTGATGTCTAGCCCAGGAGTATCTTCAAAACCAGGAAGCACCTCTGAAGTATCTACCACCTCCTCTACTAGAGTAAGAATATCACCGTTATCTGGAAACTGGATGGGTTGAACATCAAGTTGAGCGAAGGTCTCTGGAGGTGTGACAGTATGAGCATCCATCTGGTGTAAGTTCTGGTATTGCGAAGAGGCTAGAGTTTGATTTGCTGCTGAGAGGTCATCTAAAGGCACTGGTTCAAATGGAGTTAATATAGGAGGATATTCATCAGTATCATCCGGAAACAAATTTTTCCTCACACTATCATGACCTGGAAAGATAAAACAAAATTATAGACAGTGTGTAAATTCAATAAATATTTTAAAATTGCATATCACAACTACTATGACATAATTACTTTAATATTATTGGTCAGGAATTACAGTTTGAGGTAGGGTCATAAATTAGAATTTAAACAGTGAACAGCTTTAAAAACAACTTTTATGTGCCCACTCACTGTGTGACTACCACATAGAGGAAACTAAGTTTTAATTTCTTTGTTAAGAGCCACTATCTGAACAAAACTAAATTAATTTAGCTGGATACATGGTTGTGGGATTTCCCTTAAACTAATTGATTTTATTCATGCTTTTGTATAAAATGTACTCAGATTATTAAAGTGTAACACTTACTTGGATGAGTGATAAAAGATTCATCTTCAGGAGCTAGAAATAAAAATAATACATACGGTAAGAAAAAGAAAAATGAAACCTTTTGATAAGTAAGAAACAACTGGCCACAACTTACTGATATCAGTATACTGCACATTTGGGTGAAATGGTGCTCGTATTACAGAAACCCTTTCAAGTTGTAACTCAGATATCTGAGTTTCAGATCCTGCAATTAAAATATGAATTCATTACAAGCATGAAGAAATATAATCAAAGAGATGGGAAAACAATTTTCAATCAATGTAGTGGATCTTTATAGAATGAAAAAACAAAACAATTATAGTTTAACTTACGAGAAAAGTTGCCCAGTTCTTCCTGTGGAGAAGATTGAGATCCCGGCAGTGTCTGTTCAAAAATATCTGAATGCCATTCAGATTTCCTTTGATCCTTATTTATGGTTTCTGGTAACATTAGATTAATTTTCTTTTAATCTGAAGTAAAGCTGTCTAAAGGTCAAATAACTTCTGAATTACTTACCCAAATAATCTTCATTAAGAATGTCTTGTTCTGAGTTAGAGAAATTTATAGCAACACTACCGTTTGGTCCTTCTCTTGAAGGCGGACTTACAGGTGGCACTGGTACTGAAAGGGAGAACAAATTAATATCACTTCTTATAACATGAGAGTTGTAATTTTAAAAAGAAAGCATATGAAATAGATATGATATTACTCCATGAAAAACAAGAAATTACGAAGAAGTTCTAAATATTTTCTCGATATTTTCAATTAGCAATAGTTGTCAGCTGACGTAAAAGATGTCCCAACAACAATCAAGTCCCCGTCTTTTAAATCCTTGTCAGATCAAGAACATGGATTTAACTTACTTGGTAAAGTACGGAAAAGAGCTGATGGAGGTGGGGCAGGTGCTTGTGGAGCCTTGTTTAACGCCTTCATCAAACGTCTCCCCTGGCTGAACATGTTGACCTGAAACACAAATTTCAAGCATAAGCAAACAGAAAGATAAGCAAGAGATAGAATTTCAATACATTTTCATACAAAATACATGTATATGCAGCATTCACCAATGCTGTCTCCAGTAGCAAGCCATAGTAAACAAATATTGTATTCAAGTTACACTTCACAAGAAAAGTGATGATATTCCAACAAACGCAAATATAGTGAGCAATTAAAAAAATGCTTGAATGCAGCATTAATCATATTTTTACCATCCATATTTTTCTTACAAAAACCTTAAATTAAAAACAGAGATATTTCTAACACTGAATGGTGCAATCAATGGAGGTTAAGAAACGAAAGGTAGGTCAGTGTACATTTGAACCAAACAAATTAGAAAGACAACAGGAAAAAGTTCAATTAACACAATTATAATAATTACCACATGAAAAGAAGAATGTAGTTTGTGGTTGGCTGGGCGCGACGATTTTTGTATTCGTCTTTTAACTTTGACTCGAGGCTTCCCCTGCTCCGTCCGACCCAACCGCCAAGTCCCAAGTCGCTCTCTCCTCTCCTGGCCCTGGTGCATGCTGGGAGAGCGGCGCGGCTCGCGGCGTGCGAGTTCAAACTTTGTTCGCCGGACTCAGACACACGAACGGTAGATCGAACATTTACATTTTTGCAGAATTAAGGTATTTAGGCTCAAAATTTTACTTTCAAGCATAGAACCTAATGTGTTCGTGGTGTCGTAATCTATAGGAAACCACCATTAACTCAATACACCCAAAAATGTGACATCGGACTTTGGTGAGCGGTGCGCGAACAGATCAGACTTTGTTGACGGGCGGGCGAGCAGATCGAACTTTGTTGACGGGCGCGCGAACAGATCGGACTTTGTTGACGGGCGCGCAAACAGATCAGACTTTGTTCTTAGGACGCGTCGATTTATGCCTCTACTAAGAATTTGTCACCAGCGGGCTATCTTTAAACTGGCTTGGAGGGGGTGAAATCAACCCCCTTATAAATACACACAAATCCCCTAAGGCGCGGGTAGGCAATCCGCCTAACTTTCTCGTTTTTCCGCAAACTTTACACCCTCCAAAACCGACCAAAATCAATTTCTAGAACGACGTGGCTTTGGTGGTAGGTTCTTGAAGTGCCTTTAAAGGAATTGCGAACAGGAGGCACCTGGAAAATTTAAGTCGAAGCGTCATTCTGGGTGTACGAATTTTTTATGTACTCTATACGGGTGATTTGCATGGCAAATTGCAAGTGTTCTGTACGCCATCAGGTTAAAAATGCATTTTGCCTCCCGTCCGGAATTCACTTAAAGGCATTTCAAGAACCTACCACCAAAGCCACGTCGTTCTAGAAATTGATTTTGGTCGGTTTTGGAGGGTGTAAAGTTTGCGAAAAAACGAGAAAGTTAGGCGGATTGCCTACCCGCGCCTTAGGGGATTCGTGTGTATTTATAAGGGGGTTGATTTTACCCCCTCCAAGCCAGTTTAAAGATAGCCCGCTGGTGACAAATTCTTAGTAGAGGCATAAATAGCATCTGTGCAAATTTTGAAAGCTTGGGAAACACTGGTGTTCTCTGTACAAAATACACGTGTTCTTATGGGAAGGACGCCCTCAGAGGCGCCAACACAAGCTGCATGGTGAGCTTTGAATTGCTCTAGAAGTAAAACTAAAAGACATACAGAGCTCCACGAAAGCTCATTCTCTTCGTAAAGGCACGGCCGACAACATTTATAAGGACCGACGTTTCGAAAAACCTGCTCGGAATGGATCTACGGTCGTAAAACCAAACTTTAACTATTTTCACAAAAAGTACGAAATGTTTCATCCGGCCTTTGCTCAAAATCTAGACGAGATACTTGAAATCCGACTTCAGCGTCGGGTTCCGCACACCTTCCTCTGTCGAATAGCATCTTTACCGCACGAATATCAGACCGGAATATGTACAGGAAGCAATACAAAGGGGCCTAAGTGGTCATTCAACCGCCATTTTTGAAAATGGCCGCCATTTTGAATCCTAAGGGACAAATCGATTGCCTCCACTTGAAAAATCGATCCTTAGGTACCAATGTACAAGTGTGCAAAGTTTCATGCTTCTACGCAAAAGTGCAGTGGGTTTTCCCTTACGACCTCCACTAATGGACTGGTCCTCGGACAGACTGATGAACACAATAGACACGGTGGACAGTTGGGGACTGCA